AAATTAATACAAACATGTAAAGTTGCACTGTTTTGTATTTAAAACGTAGCAGCTTGTTCTAATATTGTGGTAACATGAAAGCGAAAGTGAAAGTGAACGCAAATGGTTTTGTTTTGTTTGTATGTTAAGTAACAGACGTTACATGTCAAAATTAGTATACATTTTGAACATCATATAGTAAATTAAATACTTTAAATTTTATGAATTTAAATTTTTAATACATATAAAGAAGTGCTATAGAAAAGCTCGACTGGATTAAATAGTCATGAAAATAACGCTACAACCGCTTACTACAAAAGAAACTCTTACAAATATCTTAATCCTGAGTACCTTTGAATAACTTTTTTTAGTTTTAATGTAAAATCTATGCCGAAAGCCTGATGTTATCAAAATTACACCATTAGACACCGGTTGTATTTAAATATTGCTGGACATGAGACGGCTTTTAGTTGCTGAATATATATATGTGCACATATTTATATTTGTGTGTTATTATGATGATGCTATACAATATTTGTATATTACAGGGGTTTTTGTAATGTTTGATAGCACTGAAATTGGTCTTCATCAAAAAACAATTTCGTTGATATGCATGCATCGAACGGAAAAAGTATTGTAATTTTATTGTTGTAAGGATAGTTTTATGTTTCCTGAGTGAGACATCAAACGTTGCTGTAAATGAGAAAACTTCTTTCTTGCATTTATGAATCTTTCATAAGATTTGGCAAATTTCACCGTATTCAGCTGTTGTACTCTCTGTGATGTTTAACAACAAACGCATTATGTTTAAAATTTTGTGCTCAATTAAGTTGAATGGCATTTGAAGTCCTACTGCTATTGGATTTTTTATAGGTTAACAATCTATTTATTTTTATATATAACCGTATCCTCAATCAAATTAACGCTTTTTGTCACCTCTTGTTCTCTGTGATTCCTAAAATTTTAAAACGTTCCTATTTTCCTCGAAGAAATAATTGGTCGACAATTTTTTGTTTTGCATGGTTTTCCTACCTAGCTTACCATTGAAGCTTTCCAAAAATTTGGACAGTAGCTTGCTCAAGCGATCTTGTAGTTTATCAGGATCGAAATTGCCAAGAAGCTTTCTTTTCAATGGAAAGAAACTCCACTTAATATTTATTGTCTATATACGTTAAACGCGTAATGATTCCAATCATTATGACAGGTGCAATGCATTATGCAAATTTTTAAAAGCAGTTGGTTTGTCGGTTTTTCGTTCGCTTGTCTATCTTTGAGACATATTTTAATACGGAAATTGCGTTGTACTTTACTTTTTTCTTTAATGCAAAAGTCCCGATATTCTGAACTCTATCTTCTCATCGCCAATATGATCTTCATTAAGTTGAATCAGTCTCGTCGATAGAGTATGACATGTAATGGGTACTTATGCTTAAATGCGAGAAGAATAGTCAAGAAGTGTATCGGAGGTTTCAAAGTTGTTTTTTGTTTGCTTGTCCATTATTTGAGTAAAATTTTAAATAGAAAGTTGCGTATGAAAATATTGTGTTTTATACATAGGTTAATCTATTTTACGTTTATACAAAAGTTCAAAATTACATTTTGCTATCGAGATGGTCTTGACCCCTTATAATATATAATGATTTTGGGCGAGATGTAATAAATAAAATTAGTATTTTCAACTATGAAACTCTAACAACTTTAATTGTTAATGCAATGAGCTTGTCGTCCTAACCAACATTCTTGGAAATTAATACTAACTTGAAAAATTGCACTGTTTTGTGTTTAAAACATTACAGCATGTTCGAATATCGTGACAACATAAAAGCGAAAGTGAAAGAGAACGCAAATGGGTTTGTTTTGTTCGTATGTTAAATAACAGACGTTGCATGACAAAATTAGCACACATTTTGAGCATGATGATGTTTAAGATCTATTAGAATACAATATTTAACACATGAATTCCTTCACCTTCATGTTAAAGTTACATGTGTTCGTGCGTTACAAATTGTATGTCTGTAGTAAGCGGAGAACGAAAGCCAGTTGATTCAATGACTGAGATATCGCTTTTCCTAGACAATTCCTAGAAGTCTTTGTCATTTTGAGTTATAATAATTTACTTTTGAAATCATACGATGTCAATCAAAAACAGCTTCATGTATTTTTAAACGGAAACTGTAAAAATCTTGATAGAATCATTGCTTTCAAGATAAAGGTTTCTTTGGCATCCATTTGCACGTAAATAGACCATTGTTTAGAGATAAACGGGAGAAAAATGATTCTTTGAACTACTGAAGTGGTCAATTGTGAAGTTTCTTTGAATGTTTATCGACATCATTGGTCTTAAATATTTCTCCGTGTCGCACATGAAATGCAAAAGATATACAATCATAACGTCTATACATAGGGAAAATCTTCCTGCTATCAAAACGCTTTATTTTTGTTCCTGTTGCCTGTGGATACCACATCCATTTTCCTTCGTTATCTCTCGTCACGACGCTGTTTCTTTGCGGTATAAGTGGGTATTTTGAAAATTCATCCTTCCCTGCGCTTTCACTGCATACTAGAACGGTGTGCATTACTTTTACCGTATATGCAAAAGTTCTCAATATTCTAAACTAGATTTTCTCGGCCCTGCCAAAATGTCCTTGATAGGACTCAATTAGCTTATGAATTGAGTAAATAAAGCTTTGGGAACATTTTTGACCTTGACTGCGAATAGTATATGGCAAGAATGCATCAGATGTTCCAAACTGATTCTTAATCACATCTATGTCATGCAGATTATTCTTTTCCAAGAAACAATTTTTCATGTGATCTTGCAGATTACGGACAGCATTTTTGTCGAATATTGGACTCCACCAGGAGAGATAAGCATATACGCTCTCTTCACTTGTCTCGTTGATCTTCTTTTTTCCGCCCAGAAATCCTTTCGATCTAATTATATCAGCTTCTTTACTTGTGTGATGTGCTAGGTTTTTTATTGGGATTGCGTATCCTTGCTGTTTGGCAGACTCCAAAACTATCCGTTTGTTTGAACTAAGTATTCTGAGATCAGACTTATGTTTTGAGAAAGGAAAAGGACATTCATAGTCAGAGATGTGGTCGTAAGTTTTGCGTCTACCAAATTCTTCATTCCATTTAGGCTGCCACTCTTGTTGTTGAATGTGACGTCCTGGACAAATGCGTTCTTTACCAGTATTTCTTATACCTTCCAACCAATTTATAGTCTTGGATGAATGGTTTCTAGACGTGTAAACTTTTTGACTGTAGTTAGAGGTCGGCAAAAGCAAAACACGCTGTGTACTTTGTGAAAATGTTATCTTCGAGGAATAAGATTGAGAGAACTCGAGATAAACTTGTAAACACTTGTTACGTAGCTTGTTCATTATGAACTGTAACGTCGTCATGAAAGACAAAGAATGTTGTGAGAACGTTGTGTACTAAAAAATGTTGTCTCGTAGTAGTAAACTCATTATGCTGTGAAATTGTTATTAAAATTAAGTCAAATCTACTTGGCAACTATTGTTTCATTCTATCGATATTCGATGACATTCCAAGTAGATTCTACAATAAGAAATATAGGTTCGTTATAGTTTCGGAACTAGCAACCAAGGTTGTTAAGTCTTCTTAACTGAAGAAGTAAAAAAAATCAGATTTGAGGCAGACAAATTAAAAAATGCAATCAACAAACACAGTAAATTGAAATAATGTAGATGAACACTTATAAATAGAAAGTTGACGAATGAAATAAGCTTGCTGCGAAAATCGAGTATTTACGTTTCAACAAATAAAACACCACACGCTGCAGACGTGAGCGTTCTACTCTACTATTTTTCTAAAATGCCAAATTCCCAATATTTTGAACTCTATCTTTTATCGCCAATATGATCTTGATTAAGTTGGATCAGTCTCGTCGATTGAGTACGGCATGTAATGGGTACTTATCCTGGAGTGCGAGAAGAATAGTCAAGAAATGCATCGGAGGTTTCAAAGTTGTTTATAACTTTTGCATCTTGAAGATGTTAGGATCAATAGCTTCTAAGAAAAAAAAAACTCATATGATATTGCAAATTTTGAGCAATTTTCGCAAGGAATATTGGTCTACACCAAGACAGATAGCTATACGTTCCCGACCTACTCAACGTGCCTCTCGTTGATCATCTCTGTCCCGTGTTTAAACCTGTTAGATCCAATTATGCCGTCCTTGTTTAATGTGCAATGTACCAGATTTTTGACATGGATTTGATATCCTCGCTGTTTGGCATCCAGCAAAACTTCTGTTTGTCTTGAGGAAGTTGGCTGAGATTTGGTTCGTCACTGTCATCTGGATAAGAAAAAAGAATTTGTAATCTGAGATGTGGGATGTGCTTCCACATTCCATTGAATCCCTAATTCCATTCGGGATTCTATCACTTGTTTTGCTGAACGTGTCTTCATTGGAAAATACGTTTTTTACCCTTCTTCCTTATATCGTCTTTCCATCACACGAACCCTTTTCTCTCGCACTTCCCGGGACTTTGATCATTTTAAGATGGAGATTTCAGTACTCAATGATAAGAAAGAAACAAACGTGCCAAATAAGAACAAGCAACGCCCTGAACAAGAGAAAGTAAGAACAAAAACGAAAGACCGACATTTCGCCTGCCCTATCATGCGAATACAACCTGAAAACGACTGCTTCCCTCTTAAATGATGAAACATTGTAACAAAAATCAAATCAATCTTACTGCTATCATTAAAATTAAGTTAAAATAAGCAAACCTGTCTGGGTGCGCTTTTGTAAAGAAAACAATATTTCGTTCCACAAATGGAAAGGAACGGTTGTTGTGGGCACAAACACCATTAAGGGTGGAATGTAAGGCAGTGGGATCAAGTTTTATTGTATGATATGATGAGTTAAAATTTTGTTTGCTGTAAATGGAAGATTTTTGTATAAAGAATGCCAGGTAAACGAATTTGGTGACTGCTGGGTGGTTCTGTGATGGTATAAAGAAGTGGCAATTTCGACTCCACCAAGACTGGAGCACTACAGTCCTATTGAAATGGACAGATATGAAGATGACGGATTTCTTGCAGGAAAAGAGAAAAAAACCATGGACTGAACTTAGTAAAGAAGACAAAATTGCCAGTAAGTTGTTGATATTTTATCTGATCAATTTAAATTCTCTTTCACTTGAAAACGCCAAAATATTTTGCCTTTTTGTGGGAGAGATCAAAATAGTTCAAAGTTCATACACAGGATGCTTAAAGTTTTAAATATTCAGTTTTATTGATTTTAGTATACAGAGCCTCGTTTCCTTACACAATCGAGGCAATGAACAACACAGGAGAGTCTTATACCAAAGAAATTGTTGGTGCTGTTGCCATGTTGTTGGCATTATCAATGTCATTTTTCTTGTTTCTGCGGAAATATGGTAAGAAAACCACATATAGTTTTTTCTGGTTGATGTTCATATTTTATATTGTTGACATCATTAGGTTTGATGTTTGTGTTTCTGTATGAAAAGGACTAGATGGAAAATTTTTTTGATTCACATTGATAGAAGGGATGTCAATTTGTTTTTAATGACAAAAGCCAAACTAGAATGAGGTGTCTTGAAGTAAAACCCATTCAAGTGTAATGTTTAGCACTTAACCAAGTCATCGTTTAAGATATACACTTCAATACACAACATTACCTAATCATCTTCTAAGATATACACTTAATTATACAACATTACTGTCATGACACATTTCTCGACATGTACATTAAAGTTGCATTTCTTTTGTTTGTCAAAAGTGTGAAATTTTTACATGTGAAAGCAATGTTTTGAATGTGACTTCATAAATTTAAACATTAATGGTTCTCAATGCATTTGAATTTTATAACTGGGAATTGTAAAACATACTACAACAATGTTTGTTGCGATTCAATAATGAAATTCTCTTCCTCCCAAGAACCCTACTGTGCTTACTCATAGGCCTTTTGTACTTTGAAAATTCTGAGTGCTAGCAAATAACTTGATGTTATAGTTCTTACCTGATAGTTGCAATTGACTTAACTGCAAGCATATCAATACACATGTAAGAAGAAGGACCCAAGAATCTGATGACTTTATCTTTTTTAGTATCAGCAGAAACTCCAAGAACTGTGAATGAAGAATGGGCAAAGATTACAGTTGAGAAACTTAAGAATATCAGGCCAATCCAATTACTGGCATTTCCTCCAAATAAGATCTTCGAGATGTACACTGTCATTAGTTAAGAAGAAGATGGTGCTTGAATATCTTTGTGATAATTCACATTGACTTGTTAAGCTTAGAATTACTATTGCGACATAAAAAATATTACTTTCCCATTAATTTTCAATTTTATTTTTTTGTTATTGTTTTCAATTTCTTTGTCTTAGATGGGTTAGTACAGAACGTGAATGTCCTTGAATTTAAGTTGAAAAATTCAAAGCCTTAAAAGTACTTCAATTCAATAAGATGTGCTTGAAAGTGCTCGAGTTCAAACATTTTTCTCAGTACCGGTACTTTCTTTTCAAAAGTTTAGTTGAAATTGTATTTTAAACCCTTTATTGCAAAAAATAACTATTGTGCTAAAGGGTTAAAGTGAGTAGTTTGAAGTAATCTACCAACATAGCAGTTTTCAAGTCATGAAAACACACCATTTGCTCTTGATTCATTGCAAAAAGTTCTTTTGTTTTAATTTCGATCATGGTTTTAATGATTTCTTTCAAACTCTGAGTGTGACGCTTATGAGATTACCATACTGGCTACCATTCGTTTTTAATTTCTCACCTTCGTACACAGTCGTATAGGAACTCTGGCATTACGTCCATTACTAATTTATTAATACTGTGATATGTTTCTGTGCGTCAAAAATCACACAATTCTATCGTATTTGGAAGAAATAAATTAACAACTCGGTATTTGTTATCTACTATCCTTTTTGAAAAAGAGATTATTATAAAGTGCACAATTGCCCTTTTAAATCGATTTTAAACACGTCGTTTGGACGCAGATAGAATGCAAAAGCCACGTTTTCCCAGAGAGCATGCTCTACATCATCCTCATCAATTTTGGAGAATCTTTTGAATCGTTTGATTTTCTTTCTGGTCGTTGCCTGTGGATACCACATCCAACGACCATTATCATCTCTTGTTATGATGCTCTCTTTCTCTGGTATTACTGGATATCTGGAAAATTGCTCATGACCTTCTATTGCTTTGCTCCATACTAGGACGGCGTGCATTATTTCTTTTTCGTAGAGGAAGGTCCCAAGGATGCTGAACTGGACATCGTTTTCCAGTCCTATGTAATTTCTATAGTGACGTAAAATTGATTGGATGGGAAATTGAAAGTAACATTTCCTATGGCATTTTTTTCTTGTTCGAAACGCTTGGGATGTTGCAAACTGACTTCTTATGCTATCAAAATGGTCCACCCCTGTCTCAGCAAACTTGGACAAGTGTTTAATTAAGTGGTCTTGTAGCTTTTCGGGGACATCGTCAGGGAAAACTGGACTCCACCATGACAGGTTGGCAATCACATCTCGCTTTCTTTTCATGTTTATTTTCTTCTCTTGAGCTTGAAAACCTCCGTCTTCAATGATCGAATTCGAAATGTTTTCACTCGTGAAATGCGCCAATTTCTCAATGGGAATACCATAGCCTTGCTGTTTTGCTTTCTGCAAGGCGTTCCACTGCGTTTGACAAACGCCTTTTTTCCATAATTTTGTCATATTGATGGGATGAGGAAAAGGACATTCATAATCAGAAATATAGTCATAACGACGTTTTTTCTTGCTTCGTAAGTCTTTGGTCAAAGTAGGACACCATTCTGCTTGGGTCACATGTCTCTCTAGGCAAATTAGTTCTTCACCTTTCTCATTTTTTCCCCAATTAACCACTTTTTCATTGTGCCGTGCTTTCTTTTCATTGTAAAGAAGTCATGCGCAGAAACGTCTCTGCTTTCAATAACGGCAAACCTTTAAAAGCAGACAATAACATCAAATTTATCGTTAGTTTGACGTAACTCGAGTTTATGACTTTACAACCATGTTCATTCAAATAACCGTAGCGAACGTATCAACTCAGAATGATGATCATATAAATTACGAAAGTAATTTGTGTTGTTCAAATTTGTGTTATGACGTCAGTTTTCCTTAACTTTACATGACGATTTTTATTTGGGGACAAGACGAAACAGCTCTAGATCTTATTTTTAATGTTGTATTCTGGAAACCGATATATAGGCTATAATAATTTAATATAATATATTTATAACGATAATGAAACCTGTGACTTTCATGTTTAGTATGACTCTGTGGTGAGTGTGGTTGTAAATGTAAAAGGTACTCGTATTTGTGGAGTGTACATGGACATGTACAAGTTTGCAAGATTGTTTTGAAGTTTGGAAATTAATATGAATTTTGTTGCCACTATCGGAAATTCACTGGTGTAAACCTTGCAACTCAGCAACCAACCTCAGAAAATTTGGCAAAATTTGTGTGAAATCAACTGTAAAGCGGCCATTATTATGCACATTAGGACTATAGACATACCTCAAATTAAACGACTATGATCGTAACAATTTCCTTACAATTTTAAGTTAGAGTCATGGAGGGAATTTTAGAGTCGTCAGAATGTTACCGAGTTTGTAGAAGCAGAAATATTGTCGTTAATTAGGTTAATGAATGGAATTTATTTGTCTTTGTTACGTTGACATGCACTTCTTATGTCAGACGTCATTTAGTTCTTTACCGAGACTTTTATCTTTGAGCTGGTTTGTTTTGTTGCTGTTTACTGTTTAGTTTTCTGTTTGGGTGATCTTAATTTTCGGCGATTATTGCGAATGAGTCTGTTTTCTCATAGTGCAATGAAAGCTTTATTTACTTGAATTTTTTTAAAAAAACTTCAAAGGAAATCGCGTAAAATGCTCTTGGATCGTTCATAGTATAAATTATATTGTTACCGGAACATACCTTTGAAATTGAGTAATCCTCGAAATTATTTCACGAGCAATAGATATAGGCCAGTTATTGCTTTCTCATAGGGTTGCAGTAAAATAACACAATCGTCATGTATGAATGCTACAATTATATAGTAAATCAAATACTTTAAATTCTATCAATTTAAATTTTAATACATGTAAAGAATTGCTATAGAATAGCTCCACAGGATTAAATAGTCATGCAAATAACGCAACAACCGCTTACTACAATAAGAAACTCTTAAAATTATCTTAATCCTGAGTACTTTTAAATAACTTTTTGCAATTTTAATCTAAACTCCATGCCCAAACCCCAGTGATATCAAAATTACACCATTAGACACCAGTTTCTATTCGAATATTGTAGGACATAAAACGACTTTTAGTTGTTGAATATACATACATATATACGTACACATATTCATATTTGTGTGTTATTATGACGATGTTACACAATATTTGTATATTGGTCTTCATCACGCATCGATTTGCTTTTGCGTGCATGTACGATTGGAAAAAAAGGATTTTAATTTTTATTGTTGTAAGGATAGTTTTAAGTTTCCTGCGTGAAACATCAAATGTTGCTGTAAATGAAAAAACTTCTTTCTTGCCTTTAGGAATCTTTCAGAAGATTTGGCAAATTTCACCGTATTCAAGCTGTTGTACTCTCTGTCATGTTTAACAACAAACACTCTCTGTTTAAAATTTTGTGCTTATTATTACTTTGAATGGCATTCGAAGTTCTACTGTTGTTGGGTATTTCATTGGTTAACAATATATTTATATCTATATACAATCGCATCCTCAACCAAATTAATGCTTTTTGTCATCTCTTGTTCTCTGTTATTCCTAAATTTTTAAAACGTTGCTATTTTCCTCGACGAAACAATTGGTCAACAATATTTTTTGTTTAGCATGGTTTTCCTACCTAGCTTTCCATTGAAGCTTTCCCAAAATTTGGACAGTAGCTTCTTCCAGCGATCTTGTAGTTTCTCAGGATCGAAACTGTCTAGAAGTTTTATTTTCAATGGAAGGAAACTCGACTTAAATATAAAGCGTCTATATACGTTAAATAACTAATGATTCCAATTCTTATGATTGGTTCAATTCATTATGCGACTTTTTTAAAGCAGGTGGTTTGTCGGTTTCTCCTTGGCTTGTCCATCCTTTGAGTAAAATTTTAAATCAGAAATTGCGTTTGGAAATATTGTGTTTCATACATAGGGTAATCTTTTTTCCGTTGATATAAAATTCCAAATTACTTTTTGCTAGAAGGTCTTGACTCTTATACTATATAAAAATGTAAATTTTCAAATTTCCTATAAGTTTAAATATTTATGCTAATGATTTTAGACGAGATGTGATAAATAACATTAGTATTTGCAGCTATGAAATTCTAACAATTTCAATTTTTAATGCGATGATCTTGCCGTCTTGACCAGCTTTCTTGGAAATTAATACTAATATGAAAAGTTGCACTGTTTTGTGTTTGCAGCATGTTCAATATCGTGGCAACATAAAAGCGAAAGTGAAAATGAACGCAAATGGTTTGTTTTGTTCGTATGTTAAATAACAGACGCTGCATGGCTAACTTAGCATACTTTTTGAGCATGATGATATTTAAGATCCATTAGAACAGAATATTTAACCCATGTACTTCTTTAATATTAAAGTTACATGTGTTCGTGCGTTACAAATTGTATGTCTGAAGTAAGCGGAAAACGAAAGCCAGTTGATTCAATGACTGAGATATTGCTTTTCCTAGACAAATCCTAGAAGTCCCTGTCATTTTGAGTTGTAATAATTTACTTTTGAAATCATACGGTGTCGATCAAAAACAGCTTCATGGATTTGCAAAAGAATTTGTTAAAACTGCCCTTTCACTAGGGAAATGCCCTAGAAGCTTATGCCTTCTCCGTAACTCAACATGCTTCCTACGCCCCTGCTAGAATGTTAAAATGACGTTGCAGCATAAAAGTGAAAGTGAACGCATATGGTTTGTTTTGTATGTATACAAACCGATCAATGTTTCTTGGATCCTGGTGCGCGTTCATTAATTTGGAAATTTTGTAAAAAAGATAGTACAAACTATCAAACAAAAAGCAAAATCAAAGCAAATTATTGAAATAATCGCTTGAAGTTCCTGGTGTAAGTTAAGCAGTCCATACATTATATGGAAATCATGTGTTGTTTATAAAATGCCGGTGTGGCGGTCTGAGTTGATCTTTGTCACTGAGATTTCATCCACTGCGTGCGATGCTTCTACACATTATAAAACACCAAGTGTGTAGTAACAATATTTACAAACATTATACATATGATGTGTTTTCTCGGTCAAAAGAAAATATAACGTACGCTTTTTGAGGAGTTGACGTCTACAATTTTTTTATTTTAAGAGATCGACCTTTATTACAAATGATGATTAACTTTAGTAATTCGTGCGTCGCTTGAAAATATTCTCATATCATTAAGGTTTTGCTCAACTGATTTCTCAATTTTTGTTATATTTGCGTAAAAGAGGAAGCTTGCTTTAAATCACTGAAAAGCTCCTATTATATTTTATGTAAATGTGTTTCCAAGTTATCGATATAAAATATCTCTCCTTCTGGCACATGAAAGGCAAAAGACACACAATCATAACGTCTATACATGGGATATTTACTGCAATCAAAACGCTTGATTTCGTTTCCCGTAGCCTGTGGATACCACCAAAATTTGCCTTCGTTATCTCTCGTTACGACGTTGTTTTCTTGCGGTACGAGAGGGTATTCAGCAAATTCATTCTTACCTGCTCTTTCACTGCATACTAGAACGTTGTATTCTACTTTTGTTGTGTAAGCAAAGGTTCCCAATATTCTAAACTCAATGTTTTCATCGCCAATGTAATCTTGATAATTATTAAGCAAATCGTCCAGTGAATATTGAAAGTAACGGCTGCATTTTTTGCCTTGTCTGTTCTTAGAATACACGTCAAATGCATAGGAGATTCCAAACTGGTCTTTGATGTCTATTGTTATGTTGTTATCGTGATCAAAGACTTTCAAGAAACAATTTCCCATGTGATCTTGCAAACCTGTGACATCATCGTCTTCAATGGTGGAGCCCACCAAGACAGATGAGCATAGACGTCCTCGTCGTTAGTCTCGTTGATCTTTTTTTTGCCGCCTATAAAGCCGTGAGAGGTAATTATACCATCTTTATTATCTGTGCAATGAACCAGATTTTTGATTGCGATTGGATATCCTTGCTGTTTGTCAGACTGCAAAATATTCAATCCATTTTCGCTAAGCTCGTCGAGAATTGGCATATGGTTGTCATAAGGAAAAGGGCATTCGTAGTCTGATATGTAGTTGTACTTCCACTTTCCATCGAATCCTTGATTCCATTCAGGATTCTTCCACTCTTTTTGTTGTACGTGTCGTTTTGGGCAAATGCGTTCTTACCACCACTGTTGCACATACCGTCAATCCATTCTTCTGCGACATTGCCATGTCTAAACTATTTCACAATGTTCAAGGCTCTTGTGTTAATACAATTCCTAAACAAGTTACGTGCATCCTTAAAATATGATCCTCGAGGAGTGTGGTGGAGAGAAAAAGAGAAAATTTTATGAACTATAGGATGTACTGACTAATTCTTTTAAAAGTCTTTCACAATGTTTTCCTCTCACACATTTTAAATTTATTAATACTTGCACCGATGTAATCTTATTTAATACAAGTTTTTTCAAGACATTTAACTCCGAACGAAAATAATAGTTTCGTATTTTCTCCCTACTGACAATCATTGCTTAGCGCCACATGAACGTTTTTCATTGGTCTACAGAAGCGTTTATATTGACATTTGCCTACACGGAAGTAATATACGATATCATTTTCTAAGAAGTCTGATATAATAACACGCACAATGTAGTTGAAATTTTTTCAACTATAAAGTCATATGTTGGATTGCATAATTTATTTTCCTAAAATATAAACAATACAACCCGTGCGTTGATTGGTCTTTCGTTGTGTTTGCATTAGCTTGTGCAGGCCGATCTGATCTGAAATAGAATTCACGAATCAATCATCAATGCTCGTTGAAATACAAACACATTTGTTTCGCATTAGCATTGCTTTATAAAAGAAATCAAAGATTTTTATGTTTGCACTGGCATACGCAAACCTCGGACATGTTTGTGAAAACTCTCCACCTGCGGTCGACTTGCACTGATTTGATCTCTAGTGCTCCCAAACGTGTCCTCGGTTTAGACACAGTACGCATTTTCAATGCGTACTGTGCAACTTACACAATACGGATCAAGTTGCAACTTGCCCTTCTGCGTGTTTCATCTTTACTGAAACAAAACGGCTTTCTTCAAATATGCAAATCAGATTGTAGATATAGTGTTTAAAAATTAGCATATATTTCTGGAACAATTTGATGTATAAGAAAGAACCTGTGTAAATTTATGCGTAATACCGTAGTTGTGTTTAAACGGAACACAACTACGGTATTAGTGGCCACGAAATATCCACAATGAACCAGCTAGTCAATAAGATCGGGAATTGATTCAATGTAATGTATTGTGATTGGTATTCACTAAAATATTGATGCCAATTGTAGATGTCTATGTCACGTTTTGAAAATTTACATCTCAAACTATGCGATATCGATGGAAATCAGCCTATATGCTTTCGTTTACAATTTATCAAACAATCACTGTAAAATCCTTAACTGAATTATGGCTACAAACTTAGAGTTTTAGATACAACATTTTCTTTTTAAATTAAAGTCAATCTTTAGAAAATGAGAAAGCATGCACGCTTTAGAACGCTCAATTAAATAACTTGATTTTATGAGAATGTTTTTCCAAATCATTGGTCTTAAATATCTCTTCTTCTGGCACATGAAATGCAAAAGACACACGATCATATATTCTATACTTTCACTGCTATCAAAACGTATAATTTCACCCTCCTGTCGCCTGTGGATACTACATCCATTTGCCATTGTTATCTCTCTTTACGACGTTGCTCTCTTGAATGTCTAGGTATTGAGAGAATTCCTCCTTCCCTGCACTTTCACCGCATACTCTACTTTACTTGTACTATACTTTTTTCACAATAATTGTAACTTGCTTGCAGTTTTTACTTTTTGTAATGCCTCAAATTCTCTCACGCCTCGCTGAATATCGGTTGGCCGTGGGATCATGTATTCAGCCTCTTAGGAAGTATGAATCACGAGAAGGAGGTTGAGAAAACACGACAGGATGTATTTGTCAAGATTAATAATAGAAATTTTTCAGTGCGTTTTCAGCTCTCTATATTTTTAATTCATTACAACATGCAGGGACCTATTTCATATTTGATACAAGTTTTGTAACTCGAAAGGAAAATATTAATTTTAGCATTACTTTAGCGATGGGTATTTCTTAATATAAGTGTTCGCTGATTGGCCGACATCAACCATGTAGATTAAGTAGTAGATCTTGTCAACTTGACTTGATATTAATATCTTGAATTGATGTTCCCGGCAACTTCAACAAGAGAAGATCTACCTGAACTTTTAGTTAAACAATAGGAGAGCTCTATATCAATAATAAGCTAATCAAATGAAGAATTTAAAAAATATTTTTTAAGTGACTGCATTCGTTACGATTGGTAACCAGCAAATCAAAATGGCATATAATGTTTTCTGAAACTCTCAACTTGAGAAAAATCTCTAGGAAAACTCAAGTTAACTCCAAATCAAGTGACAAAGCATTTCGTGAGCATATAGGGATGTGTTGAATATTGGTAACACGATTAAAATCACCATAAAAATGATTAATTTCTGTCTATTGTTGATAAACGTTATGGCGATATTATATTCACCGACGACACTAATTGTAAAACGTCAAATCATTGTGTCAGTCAATTTGTACAAATGTTGTAAAAATGCCCCTGATTGTGCCTTTACGCAGGCTAGCAAAGGCAATTGCGCAAGAGGAAAGAAGTATAATTTGTACTTCAAAATTTCATATCGAATGGCGACATTACTGGGGAAGTTTTATTTTAATACTTGGCGAGTTTTACCATTTAAACACCAATATCGTTTGGGATTATATAAGAAAGAGGTTTGTGCACGACATGTTGCTTCTGACTTTTAAAGATACAAATATGTTTTGTCTGAAGGGACTTGTCCAGTTGTCCTGTCAGTTAGATTACATAATTTGTCTTGAGCAAAGATTTTTTGCTTCGCTATCACACATCAACGCTTGCCTATCTCCATATGAGCACTCTTGTGTTTATCTACAAGTTTGGCAAACTTTCAATCTTGCCCTGTCATTGATCTTAATCGCGTTTTCTTGATTGCATTCCGAAGTCAGACTCAGACTGTCAAGGTCCTGGAGTTGGCTACCTCACCTGTCGTGCTTGGCTTAGGTGTATGTAACTGAATTTTGAACAGCTAAAAAATTAGATTTTTTGGTGTGGGTAAAATAGGCCTCAAAATAGCTTTGCTGTAATATGAAGCCAGTTCAATGCCTTGTCTTTTGTTGTGGTAATATTCAACCAGAAACGTTTGAAATTTATTCATATGATGTTTTAAATCAGGTATATCTTTGTAATTGGGCCTGATTGGCAATGCTTATGGATTAAAGATGAACAAAGTTAAAGCATGGATGTTCTTCCCCTTCAATTATTTTACTAAATTGATAAAACTGACCTCCCTTAGTTGATGTTAGGATACTTTTAATCTACACATTTATAAAATGGTAGTTTATAATCATTATATAGGTTGAATGTTTGATTTTGAAAAGCCAGAAAGCATTCTATGCCAATGTTATTGCCCGAAATGAAGAAGAAAGACGGATAGCTGAAAAGATTAAATCAAATCTCAATGCTTCAAAAATTGAAGTAGAAGACATATCAGGCATGCTATGAATTAACCATATATTTTTTTAATTTCACCATAGAATACACTCTATTGATGTAAACTGCAAAGTTGGTCTCTCACAAGTTTCTTAGACTATTCACTGTCATTGTTTTGAGATCTGCATGATTGGTAGAGGCATTTTACCAACAGGCATCCACTGTTTGAAATTTAGCATTTTATTGATTATGGCTGTAACTGTTTTCAGCAAATGTAAAAATCTTATAATTTTTCTACACAAGATTACTTAAGAGTTTGGACTCGGAGACTTGACTCAACTTGTCCCCTCTCAAAACTGTCAGGCAATGTACCTGACCTTTTAGGGGTTTGAAGGAGCTAGGCATTTAACATGCTTTTTACATTTGAATCTGCAGTATGTTTGGACAGCAGTTTAAATCAAAAGGTTTGTAACACTACTTCTGCACTTTAGGTGGCTGTGGTTCCATGTACAGAATATTAGTGGAGTCGTCAGAATTTGAGGGAAAGCGCACCATACAACAACACAGAATTATAAATGATGTAAGTCTATGTTTTTAAAACTTGTTTTTGGCTGGCTTTTTCTTTCGTTATTATCTTTCCAGTAGAATATAAAGAATTATTGTTCATCAAGGCATTTTATACAGCTGTATTGCAGTCTGTTTTGTAATGCAAAGTCAGTTCTCACAAAAACTGACTTTGCATTATCTTTAAATTGTGTTTCATGGAGTATTGATGAAATACTGATGGGAAAGTGTGCCCTGAATCTGATTGGTTGAACAATCTTATAATATTTAAGTTATAGCAGTTATACTTGCCAGGGGGTCTCTTTTCACTTTGGTTGCCTGGACCAATTGATCAGTTCATTATAATACCTGTTCAAATGTGAGCTGGGATTATTGTTTAACATGATAGTCAGCTCTGCTGCTGTAGCCATAGGACTAGTTAATGTTGATATTTTTATACTTATTTTCAAGCCATGCAAAATTTTCACTTGCTTCTTCTCTTGCTTACCCATTTCGTTTTCTCAAGTTTCTTTTCTATTCACCTTTTCTACTTAAGACAAAACTAGAGCTTAAAACAAACTTTTTCCTTAGATATTGAAAGATGATGTAAAAGACATGCACGGACTGACATTGCAAACATCTTCTACGAAATAGCTCGCCGCATACAGTTGGCTGCTAGAGAATAAGTCTCAAGGTCATGCTTAGTCGCTTAGCCCTTATGGTTTCACACCCGAAGTTTCGTATGAAGTGTACTTATTTGCATATAGCAAAATACGAAAGCCGTTGTTTTTAGAATCCCCAAAATGAAGTTAACCAAGCGCGCAAAGCATGACTTTAAGACTCATAATTTTGTACTTGAACAGTAAAAGGGTTTGCCCTAAAGGCTCTCCGAAACTCTCAGATATTCTTTGGCTGTGTTAGTCAGAAATAAGAAAAGGAGAGCGATGCATCGAAGCTCAAACGAATGTTCGAAAGCTCTGAAGGTCCTAGTACATCTCACTTGGCACGCCATTGTCATGTCATGTCATGTAATGCCAAAATGAAGTTAACCAAGCGCAAAGCATGACTTTAAGACTCATAATTTTGTACTTGAACAGTAAAAGGGTTTGCCCTAAAGGCTCTCCAAACTCTCAGATATTCTTTGGCTGTGTTAGTCAGAAATAAGAAAAAGGAGAGCGATGCATCGAAGCTCAAACGAATGTTCGAAAAAGCTCTGAAGGTCCTAGTACATCTCACTTGGCACGCCATTGTCATGTCATGTCATGTGTTAATAACTAAATGTATCTTTTTCACAAAATATTGATGAAATGTTTTCCAAAGATTGATATTTATTTAGAAAATGTTTGCCACCCTTTTTACTCTCACTAATTAGTAATACCAAATTTTACCAATCACAAATCACGATATAAACTAAAAGCTCCATAATTTGAGTGTCTGATATGTTATCCTTTACGCATGCGTGTGTTTGTGCGTGAAAAGCATGCGACAAAACAAATAGCTTTGGAGGCCAATATGTCACTGCACCCTTTCTCCTACACAGATCTCTATGATATTCTAACAAAAGACTTAAGTTTGATTTTAAAATAAAAATGTTGTCAAAAAGTATAAGTTGCCAAAGTAAACAAAGATAAAATCCAAGGACCATGTAAAGTTCACCAAATGTTAACGTCATATCTCTTCCAATTCTTTTTGAATTGTGGTCGCTCGTGTTTTGTGTACGGCGCTTACTCAGATCAGCAAGGTTCTTCTGAGGATATTTGGTATGCAGCAGCGTAGACCGTGATGGCATTTTCTTGACTTAACAAGTGCTCCATTGTAACATGAAGTTGCACAGTGTCCAATTACTTCCATCTCGTTATCCATAGGACTGTAGCATGTTGTACAATCCGCTGGCCAAGCTTGTTCACCTAACAGCAGGAGCAGAAGAAACCAGATCCTCTTGTCCATTGTGCGAGCTTTCAAAGTCTTATCTGCGAGGGAAAAACGATGATTTTCAATAATTGTATATCGTTCGGGTGTTCATAATGAGCAGCGAGGAGCGAGCTTTCTTGCTGTCCAAGGCATTCGACATTGCGAAAGTTTATGTCTTAAATGGCATTTTGGCAGCTTTGAAGGCTATCAGATTGAGCGATGAAATAATTGTCAGCAATATGCATTTGCATTTAATCGCGCTTTACATTCAAAAGCTTACACGAAATCGAGGCGACCTGTCAACGTGAAGCGCAACGTGGTGTTTGTTTTTATCAATGCACGCTATAATTTTTTTTACGGTATGTGTTCCTGTGGATGAATGCCCAATTGCTTTCAATAGCTCTTGGGAAGTGGAAAAGGATATGGGTTTTAAATTATTTTTCCCTATTTCATGCAAATATTACCAAATGCAGACTCTGCTTGCCTTAATTTTTCAACTTTTCAAGTCTCATCTCATGAAATTTGTAAAAATTTATTCAAACGCAGTTTGAGTCGTTTAAAAGTATGGTCATCGCTCTCTATATGCTTAGAGAAATCAAGCACTTATTTATTGTCATTGTATGGATAGCTATGGATAGCTATGGACATCTATGGACATCTACAGAATACAAATAACTAAAGCTAATGTTGCACCTAATGTTGAACACTGAAAAATGGTCTAATCTCCCCACAGATTGTGTTAAAGTAACATCTCATTTTTTCAAAAATTCCAGAAGACTTATAATGTGACGGTGGCCTATTACATTGATTGTGTAATATTGGATGAATTTGGAATTTTCCTTAGCACCTTCCTATTTTTCATTTCACATTTGACTATGTCGCTTTTATTTTACAGTTCATTTCGTTTTCATGCGTTGAAAATACGTCAATTCGATAAAACTGAACTCGCACATATTAATCTTACTCTCTGATTAAGTTTAGATTAATCGTCGAGTGCACGAACTTAATTAATTAAGTAATTTCAAAATCGGCAACAATCCCAAAAACTCAAAGCTTCTAACTCAAATTGCGTTGATGATGGCAAATTTTACGACATTTGAGATGTCCCAAGAGGTACAAGGTACAAGCATGTTACAAATAATCGCTTGATTGTTCAAATAATTAGCAACATGTGTGAGAAGATGTTTGCACGAATTATCGCAAGATTCCGTAGAGCATTATCAGATTGGACTACTGCTGCTGTACCGGCTGCTAAACTGGCTTTTTGTGCATGCAACACAGTCTTTTACAGCAATTTTTTAACCGTTTTGTAAAGTACGAATTTTTTAAGCACGCTGGTCGTGCAAAATCAATGCTGTGACGTCCTTTGTGCGGACATCAATAAGCGTCATGTAAATTGCAGAATACATTACTAAACATTACCTTGTTTCGTAAGAAAACTACTTAAAATGAAGATTTCTTCTTTTTCTCGAGTTACTTGTCCAGCCGAGTGTCAAGTGAACTCTCTAATTGAGCGGTCGGTAAGCGAATGCCGTGTGTCCACCGTTATTTCTGTATCCAATATAAGTGTGAAAGTCCCGCATTGCAATAATTCCATTCATCTTTCGACGTCAATTTAAATTTGAAATTCCAGTCGGAAGGTGCAATTACATATTACATACTTTGATGACTCGCCGGCCTCACGTTTTGCGTTTGCAGATTTAAAAATGCTTTCGAAAGTCGGAAGAATCGAATCGAGAATTCTCGATTTTTCATTAATTTTTTCAAGTTTTTCTGCGGGAACATATTTTGAGATTATGAAATTTGAAAAAATCAGTCGAGCACAGCAATAAACACCCCTTCCAAAAACGTACAAGTGCCACCTCATGGTGTCGAATTTAATTTTTTATGAATGTTTATAATGCTAACAACAAAACTCTTTGTGGGTGTATTAAAGAATTTAGGCACCAATTATTTTTTAATTAGCATAGGATAATATCCATCTAGTAGTATAATTACCAATGAATATCTGTCCCGTGTGCGTCATGTTTGTTCATTTGCGTTTGACGTGTCGTAGTCGTGCCGAATAAGAATTTAAATTAAATCATGGAAGGCCGGTGCTGTTAGACCTCACCTGTAAACTTTCCATGACAAAAATTCCCTTCCCACCAGGAATTGTACTTAAAAATGTTATTTTAGTCGGGTTTGCAATTGTCAACGTGAAGTAAAGAGTAAATCACAATGGGTAAGCATTAATTAGATCAATATATACTGAGGATTGATCATTACCCATTCATAAAAAAGTTGTAGAAAATTAATGATCGTACTAGGTGGAAGATCGACGTTTATAATAGTACCAAAGTCAACAACACGCAATGAAGAAATGAGAAGCGTAAGATTGTTTTTCTATCCTTAATACCTTCGCCATTGATGGATCATGTGTTGTGTGAATATTTGTGCGTGACGATTTTGATGTCGATGTCTGACTCCGTGGGACAGGTCAAAAGCTACCCGAACACAAACATTTGCGTTTCCCGTTTGTGCTTTGCATTCTTCGTAGAAAAGGAAGCCATGTAAACTGCGAGAGTGTTGAAAAAAAAGGAAACGACACAAACGTTTTGAAATGAAGAAATTTTTGGCTTTGCAATATATAATTACCAGGCTGCCAGCATGTCATGGGTATAATATGCCACGTGACTGTAACCATGAACCATTGTCTAGGATTAAAGAATGATGTCTCAATAATTAATTAAATACAATATTACACAAAATGCCCCATTTAAATAAGATCAAGACTTGACTGCGTTAATTTAGGAAGATGAAGACGATTTAAGCTATTACGGATCGCCCGTTCAACAACCTGATCATGAAGAACAGGCCGCACTGCAAAGTACAAACTGCTAAAAATCAACATTGATTCGTACATCGATGGACAAACGTGCGCAAGGATTGTTTTCTGGCAATCAAACATGACTACATCTTTATTCAATTCATTACTTGTTAATTCTTTTTCATTTCTTGGCCGACCGTCGATTTACCAGACTTAGCAGTTGAAGTAGACTTATCACTGCATTGACAACCTAATGTAATGTAGCCAGTGAGTGTATCGCCATTTTGGGGTGCCTCTGAACTGGCTGCCTGTGCATGGCTAAGCGCGCAAAGCATTACCGTGTAACTTATTCTTTAATGGATCAGCTTTTTCTTTCACGACTGGCCCTTCAACGGGGGCGGTAGCTACAACGTTGATTGGGGTGCATATTCATTTCAAAAAATTCAGTAGGGCACAACTGTATATATGATAATGCACACCCCTCCTCCAATTAACGTTCTAGCTACGCCTCTGGACACAGTTACACAAATATTTTTATTGTTGAAGGTGAAAAACTGTCATGACTTTTCCTTCGTATGTTCTTTGGCTTTTCAGTGGCGCTGGATTCTTGTCGCATTGTATCCTAATTGGTCGCCTGTTGCAGTGCGTTCATAAACTTATCTATAAAAGACGATACGACAATTTAATAGGCTATAACTTTCAACGCGCCTATAAAACAGTTGTAATTCCGTAGTCTTAATCTATATAGTAGCGAGCCTAAGCAAAGACTACGAGTAGAATACGAATTACGTCATTTTGGCGCGAAAACATTGCTGTGACAACAAAACATGTAACCGTCATCAATCTGAGTACGATGAGTACAATTTAATAATTCAAGAAGTTCCCTAATAGTGTGCAAATCAACCATTGTTTGAATTTGCTCTTCCGAACATAACGAAGTACTTTTATGGGCGCTACGCCATACTAAATAGCGTTGTGGTTGAGAAATCCTGCTCAGAAACGCACCCCCCTGTATAAATTAGAGCACTCTTGAATTATTAAAATTAGCCAAATGTAACACGTGAACACCGCGTGCCTTTTTTTCAAATGTTTTGTGCGTGCTGTTTTTCGAATTTGTTAAGTGTTTCTTCCCATTGGAATTGTTAACTTAATATTATGTCTGAGCCACTTCGTTTTAAATTTATGTTTGTCAAATGTTTAGTGGGAGCGTTTGAATTTTTTTATCATTGGGTTCGAACATAAATTTAATATTTGAATGCATGAACAAACTTTCGTAATATTGACTGATTCGGACAACCATAACACGTGGTAGAGCTGGTAAGAGCACCCTGAATTTGACTTCCCCATCCTTGGATAGTGACGGAATACATGAATATGCAACTGGGCGTGGCATATGGATAACGCTTTCTCTTTGTTTCGATTAGAATTTTTAGATGGTGTTATCCATAAAATGAATGGTCAATTCTTAACAAGCATTGATTCGTCGCCTACAAAAGGATTACGGGTTTATAATTTATCTTTGTTTTAAGCGTCATGACGTCATCTACAAATTTAGAGATGTGATGAACATTTGTTTTTTTTGTTTTTGTTGTTGAGGATCGCGTGCATTTCACGTGATTGACACTTTGGGATTATTACAGAAGGGGGAATTGTTGTTAACATTATAGATTCGAGATGTTGTTATTGAATTGTGAAGTAGTTTTCTTAGAGACGACTTCTTTGTATGATGAAAGTTCAAAATTAAATCATTTGAACTAACGTCAATGTCAAAATTATGTGCTCGAGATAAATATAACGGTTTTATCGTGCAACGTGCAAACAGAGATGACGTTAGCTTTTCTTACTATTAACTGTTGCATGATTTTAATTTTATTTAGCTGACGTTAACACCTGATGAGTAGTCTGCTGAATGCCTAGTAGCCAGCTTTAGCAAGGACTACGAGTACGACTACGGGTATGAATTACGCCATTTTGGCGCAAAAACATTGTTGCGACAACAACAACACGTAGCCGTCAATCAATCTGAGTACCATGTTTTGTAAAAAATTCGTAGTCGCGACTACGATGTCTTTTCGCTAAGAAAGAAAGTAGTTATTTTTTCATTGTGTAAGAATTTAGTTTATAGTACTATTTTTAAGTATCCGGTTTTTTTTAGAACCGTTTTTGAGCGCAGATGTACATTTAAAAGGAAAATATGACCTTGAAAACTTTCATGTATTTTGTACTCAAAGTGAACGGTAAACAAACAATAAAATAGCATAAATATATCGTACATAAAATTTAAAACAGTGAAGATTTTTCACTCTAAAGAGTCATATGTTCTCCACAAAACCAGTATTACCGATTACTTGATATCGTTATTGACAAATAGAGCCGTAGCTGCTTCAAACGTCGGTGTTCTTCACAATAAAAGGCTCGTTCTGTTGTTAAACCTCTCTTTGACGAAGGGACAATGACAACAAACTTCCTCGTGCTATTCCATAACACGGTCAAACTTCGTACTCGTTGTCGTAGTCGTTTCTCTTGCTAAAGCTCTCTAGTGTCTTTCCAGTGCTGTAGAAGTGGGGGCGCTGGGGAGCCCCTTCTACCTTGAAATGGCTAATTTTAAAAGGGCACTATTAACAAAAACGTCAAGAGAGGCCCCATCTGATAAATTTAGTTCTACAGCACTGTGTCTTTCAACTTTAAAACAGTTCTTTTATAACTATTGAGTTAGTGTTCTAAACATTTTTAAGGACTATTATATTGTTATTTCGACCTTTCACCATGGTATTTACTATTTTTCAATGAAAAAAATTTAGAATTTTATTATAAGGATAAAGTCCCTATTTTACATTACAAACCTTTTCGACTAAATTGTGTAATATGTGCTCTATATCCCGGCTATTAAACGAAATATATGCATTCTAGATGCGAACCGATAAATATGTTAAATGAAAGCGAATAATAATTGAGGCCCTTCATTGTTTCAATCTATGAATTTTTATTGAATTTTTCTAATACTTGACGTACGTCAGAACTTAGAAATCTCTTTCGTTTAGAATTAAACGAATTACGGATACCATGCGATGTCCACCAAGACCGTTTTATGTGGCTTTGGCCTACGATTTACTGAACGATTACCGTAATATATCTTTAACATACTTTAGAATGGGGATGATGTTTGTACTAAATTTGGCTGTAAGTAAAGCGTCGTGAGTAGGCTTTTGTGAATTATGCAATTGGTAATTTCTTGACTTTATCTTTCACACATTCTGTTTTAAATATCTCTCCTTTTTGCACATGAAATGCAAAAGATACACGATCATAACGTCTGAACTCTTTATAATTTTGGTAGGTGTAAAACGCTTGATTTCGGTTCCTGTAGCCTGTGGATACCACCGAAATTTGCCTTCTTTATCTCTCGTTACGACGTTGCTCTCTTGCGGTACGAGCGGGTATTCAGCAAATTCATCTTTCCCTGCGCTTCCACTGCAAACGAGAACGTTGTACTCTACTTTTTGTATGCAAAAGTTCCCAATATTCTAAATTCCATCTTCTCATCGCCAATATGGTCTTGATAGGATTTAAGCAGCTCGTCGATTGAGTATTCAAAATAACATTCACATTCATGCCCTTGTTTGCGATAAGAATAAAGAAGAAACAATCGGATTTTCCAAACTGCTCTTTAATATCATTTATGTTGTTGATTTGATCATCGGTAAATTGCGAGAAATACCCTTGCATTTGATTTTGCAGATTTTCGCCAACATCATTGCTGAATCTTGGACTCCACCAAGACAAATAAGCTTTTTGCGTACTATTGATCTTCTTCTCGCCGCCTTTAAAGCCTTTATCTAAAATTATTCCATTCATGTTAGGAAATGGTGTGCAATGAACCAGAATGTTGATTAGGATTGGATCTCTTTGCTGTTTAGCAGCCCGCAATTTTCTTTTGTCAGGCTGAGATTGGGCTCGTGTCTTTCTTTTGAGTAAGGAAAAGGGCATTCGTAATCTGAGATGTAGTCATAGTGGTTAGGAAATTCACAATTCCATTCTGGTTTCCATTCGTGTTGTTGCACATGTCTTCCTGGGAAAATAAGTTCTTTACCTCGATTTGCCACTCCCTCTATCCATAGTATCTCTGGCCCCGCCATGACTGAACTGTTTCTGAATTTTCTAGTGTGAATAAAATGCAAAACATGAGGTTGCGATTAACTGGGTTGTTGTACTAACTTTTAAAAGTTTTTCAAGTGTTCTTCAACTCTTACATTTTAAACTCGAAACTATGCAGCCAACTTTCTTATTTTATAGAAGTAAGCTTTTATTACATTTAATCCCAAAAATATTAGTTTTGTAATTATCCCTGACTTCACGCTAAGCCTTGCTTAGCTAATGTCAAACAGCATCAACAGCAGTCTTCGCTTCTGTTAAAACGTAAGTGATTTATGTTATATTACAGTTAAATGTAAGAAGTCTATAGCTTATAAACATCTTTAAGCATTAAAGTACGCAGAGCCTTATTAAAAATAGTTTGTGTGTTTTTTTGTTTTTTTCGTTATACGGTTGATTTTTGTTGTGTTTGTACTTAATAAAAGCCTACTGTGTAAGACGTGCCCGGTAACAGGTGTACACAGTGAAATAAGAGCCTTCTGTTTAATGTGGGCGTGCTGTTTAGTTTCAATGTTTCTTGTTGCTACTACTAACACCATTATTATCATTTACACCAACACGTAAAAGTTGTGGGAAATTCATGTAACGATGTTATTATACAGACGTTCCAATTTTAGAATTACTTTAAGAATACTTCTAGCTTTATAGAAACATTGATTAAATATCGTCGTCAATGACGTGGATAAATGAATTTTTACTCTTCATTTGTCTTTGTTACGCTGGCATTTTTAGGTTAAAATTCACCTAGTTCCTGACTGAAATTCATTGCTTATGAGTTTGTTTGTTGCTCTTCAGTTTTCTGTTTCGTGATGTTAATGTCCAGTGGTTATTGAGAATGATTTGTCCTTGTTGTGGCGTATTTGCTTTGAAATTATCTCAATGCAGTATTTCGTTTTCGTCTGTTGTTTAATAAACAAACAAAGCACTTGTTCCGTATGAATTATGCACGAATCTTTCAGACTACAGATAATAAAATTACCAGAACCTACCTTTGAAAATGAGTGCGTTTTCTCCGTCCTCGAAATTATTTTTCCACCAAAATATACGCCTGTTAAGTTGACCGGTCGCAATTATGTTGTTAGTGACCTTAGGTTTAACGACGCGCTCATCTACAACGCGAGCGGAAATGAATTTTAAGCCAATGCACATGTGCGTGCGTCGTTGAGTTTTGTCGTCATAGATATAATAGAACTAGATTGCTAACGAGTGTTGTTGTTGAGGATCGCGTGCATTTCACGTGATTGACACTTTGGGTTATTA